TTAGGGTTTAGGGGTTTAGGTGTGTTGGGGTTTAGGGGTTTGGGGGTTTAGGGTTTAGGGGTTAGGGTTTAGGGGGGTTTGCTGTTTAGGGTTTCTGGGCTTTCTAGCGTGCTTGAGGTTGAAGGATGCAGGGGTTCAGGAGTTTGGCCGTTGAGTCTCAGGATACCATATAACGGGATGGAAGTACCAATTATGGGCTAAGGTTTAGATCGTTGTTCTACTCCATACAGACGCTGGCCTTATCCTTAGTGTCCGGCATATTTGGCATCCCCCACCGCAACCCTAAACCCTAAACCCCTGAAGCCCTAAACCCTAAACAGTCCGCACTGCAGTGGTAGCTAGTAGCTTCAGGCCCTAAACCCTAAACCCTAAACCCTAACCCCTAAACCTTCAGGTCGGATCTGGGCCAAAAATTCCCCAAACCCTCAGCCGCTCAGCCCCAAAGACTGAGCTCTCAGCCCTGATAATATAAGGTTTAAGGTTTAGGGTTTAGGGTTTAGGGTTTAGGGTTTAGGGTTTAGAAGCTCGAATATAAGGGCCTTAATAATTAGAATAGGGTTTTGGGGCCCATTCTACTAGAATTCTAATAAGGACCCCCCCCCCCCCCAATATTATTAGTAATTATTAATAAGGTCCCTGCATTAGACCCACATAAACCCCGAACGCGAAGCCCAGAAATCCTCAACCCCAAGCCCTGTAAGCCGTCTTGACTGCGAGGCCAGTCTGAGGCTGTGGCCAACCAGATCCCCGTCTTGAAAGCTTGAGGGTCTATACCCATAGGCCCCATAGTAGTTCCTTTTTGTGGCTTATATTTAGGATCCCAGGAGGTGATCCCAAAACGGAACTACGGGGGCCTATGGGCAAGGCTGAGGGTTCAAGTTGTCGCGGGCTTGGGCTGTAGGAGTTAGGGTTGATATAACCCTAAGCCCTAAACCCTAGCAGGGTTTATGCAGTCGTGATTTTGGGGTTTGGCATGTAGTATGCATAATTCGGTTAAGCGCTTCAGGGAGTTCGGCTTAGGGTTTAAGGCGCTCCAGTTAGGGGCTTTCAGAAATTTCGGTTGAGGTTCTCGGATGCAGCAGTACTTTGTATCAGAATCGTACCTCTTCGAGTTCGCAAATGTTGTCAGTGCTTGCGTGGTGTTGGTAGTCCACTTGTTCGCCTGCTGATATGTCAAGTAGAATTAGAAGGCAGCAAGGGTGGTAGAAGTCGCTGGAGAGTTGCATGGTGTTTGCCTGGATTCGCCGGGTCTGATTGAGTCGTTTCGAGGTGTTGGCGACCGTGCGAGTGACTACTGGCGGGTTGCATGTTACCCCGTAGCGGGGTTAGCATCTTGGGGCCAATTGCAACGAGGGGCTTTTGAAGGCTAAGCTTTTCTGAATGGATGCAGCAAGCTTGCAGGTCTTACATCATGAATCGCATCTAGCCTGAAGCCCGAGACCACTATAATTCCAGAGTGGGGACTGGTTTTGTTTGCGGGGCAGTTGGCTCCGGGGAACACTGTAACGGTTGAACCTTCATGATTTCATCTATGACAAAAACTGATGCAAGTAGGTTCAAGCAGGTACCTCGGTGGCACTTCCTTTTCAGAACATCCCTCGACATCTTCACCGTGAGCGTTCTGCACGCGATTAGTACAGGGGGTAGGGTAGAATAATTCAGCCGGCTGCTGCGTTGGGAGGGTTTCTTAGATACTTCGATACTAGCAGAATATCATATCGGATTTTTCCAGGACCTTGACGAACCCTACGACTTCAGCTGCAGCCCGAAGCTAGCAGTCAGTTTAGGGTTTGGGCTTTAGGCGTTCCGGTTCAGCGTTCTGGTCCTTGGCTGTAGGGCATGGCCGTGAATAGTTGGCACGTGGAGCCCCGGGTAAGCCCTGAACCCTAAACCCAACTCTAAACCCTAAACCCTAAACCCTAAGCCCTAAACTGCAGTTGAGGATGCGAACCATCCGCCGGATGATGAATTCGCTGAACTGGCCCAACCTCCAGCACGAGTTTTCCAAGTGGGTGAAGAACTTCATAGGCCGCCCTAAACAGGGCTTCTAAAGTTTATTAGGGTTTAGGGTTTAGGGTTTAGGGTTTAAGGTATAGGGTTTAGGGTATAGAAGATTGTAGGGCTTAGGGTCCTAAACCCTAGACCCTAAACTCCTGTGGCCTCGGGGGGTTTCGGGTCCCTTTCAGGGTCCGTTAGGGCTCGCTGGTTCAGGATTCTTCGGGGCTCCGGGTGTTGAGTCCCTTACCCTAAAGGGTCCATGTACCCTGCATATAATATAAACTTTACCCTTAACATAGTCCTTGATCATGTACTTGGGGCCGAGGTGCCTACTACTTGTGTACATATAGGTCGTTCTCTAAATTAGGGTCCCTTTTTTGGTCCCCAATATAGTACGGCACCCATATAAAAAGGACATTAAAAGGGACCCTAATTTAGACAACTACCCCACATAGGGGTAGATTAGGATTCGGGGTTGCGGCCAAGCTAGGAGTCTTCAGGAGTCTTTCTCAAGCATACTGAGAACTCTTTACAGTGCTTAGGCTTAAACCCCAAAACCGAGGTCCTAAATCCTAGCCACTTTTCCGGATGACAGGGAACATCTGCGTGCATGTTTTGTTCCCGCCAAATCCCACACATGTATTGCACAACGTGTCCCCAAACCCGTAACCCCACACTCAAGATGTGTTGTGCAGTGTGTTTGTCAGTGTTTGTACCGACATCGTGAGGGTAGTTCTCTATTAGGGTCCCTCTTAGAGTCCTTTTTATGAAGGTGCGTACTATTTGGGGGACCTAAAAAGGGACCCCCAATGCAGAGAACTACCCATGAAGCCCCGTAATTATCTTGTTCTGACTACGCAGTAGGATGGAAGAGGATCCCAATCTGCCTCCGAGTACCCTTCTGCAAACGCGCCCGCCAAAAGCTGTCCAATCCGAAAGAAGTACATATCCGCGCGCACTGCCAGAGAAGCCATCCACACACCTCACCCTATTCCCCCCAAACCCCTCAAGCACTTAACGCCACTAGCTCCTACAGCCTCTTTCTCAGACTCCGTTTGACCCCAGACAGGTGTGGAGCAAAGCATGCGCGAGTTCTTCCGTGTGTGTGATGCCGAGATGGACTCGACTCTAAGCCCCATAAGTCCGGGACCCTAAACCGTAAACCCTAACCCCTAAACCCCTAAAGCCCTAAACCCCTAAACCAAAACCCTAGGGTGTAGGGTTATAGGGCCCTAAACATTTTAGTGTTTAGGGGAATAGGGCTTGGGGTCTCCTGGTTTCAAAGCCGCAGAATGAGAAACAGGGTAGCCTTATCATAATGATGCTGCTGGGGGGACCTGGTGGGGGGTTTAGGAAGTTAACAGGTTTTCGGGTTTTTTGTTTTTATGAGGGGTTCTGGCGTGTACGTACGAGTTTTGGGCTTGACGGCTTTCTAGGGTTTGAGTTCGGGTGTGGTACCACCGCCCCCCCTTCACGCCCATCTTGTGCCGCCTCAGTATTATATAGGGCTTATATTAATCACAGGCTTCGGGGTAGAGGGTCTGTGATAGTCCTTGTTTGGGAACGGGTTTTGTTGATCCAGAATGAAGGTAGTCAGATTCCGCTAGCCACACGCAGCAAAGTAGGACGAATAACTGCCGATTATATATGTAAAATACATGCCCAGGAACCTACTCCAACTGTTAAGGCCCCTATACTAGAGTCCCACAGTATAATGTCGCAAGGTCATATTCTCCATGCTTCAGGGTTGAGGGTTTGCGGATGGTTTTGCAGGTATTCAGCCCAAAGTAGCCTGTCACAGATCTCACGGTTCAAGCTACGTATATTCCAGGTTCGGTAATCTAGACGCCTGATGAATAAGATGAGTAAACCCTCTTCCCTGAATGAGGGTACGGTTATGCTAGAGATTTGACAAGAAAGGGTGTTTATTATGCAGTGCGCTGTGTCAATACACCCTGAACACTAAATTTAAATCGTTTGACAGATCCGAAAAATGCCTTAAACGCCCGAAGTAAGGCACTCCGTTTCTAAGAACCTTCCCTCCCAGTATGTTCCATCTTTTGAAAAGCCCTGATCCACTTCCAAAGCTAACCTTTTCACTCTCATATCGCCTACGGATGTCTAGTCTAAACCCCAAACCCTAAACCGTAATTGTGTGTTTCGTGGCATTGGTGGTTTGGAGATGTAAGCCTTCGGGGCTTGCAGGGGGTTTGGGGTGTTTGAGGTACGCTGTTGACTGAGGGTGCGTTGTGTGGGTTTTCCATCTCTCCAAGGTAGGCTTTGGGCTTAGGGCTAGCAGACCCAAGCCAAAGGGCACAAGTAACAGTGTCTATACTACTGTTGGGGCCCAAACATCGACTAAATAGCTGCTCTACCCCTAAACCCTAAACCCTAAACCCTATTGGTGCTGAGACCCTTTGAGCAGATAGGTTTCGAGTTGTCTGGTTGCGGTGACTAGCTGTCGCCCCATGAAACTTCGTACACTTTTCGGGATCTTGCAGCCCCCATGCGCACAAAGATCCTGAAGATGGTCATGATTTTCAGGAGTATTAAACAAGTCTTTTCGATTACTTATTGTAGTGTTATTCAGCTTTTCATACTAGCATATGGACTCCTAGTATGGTAGCGTTAATATTCAGAAACCGTAAGCCCTAAACCCTGCACCCTAAACCCTAAACCCTAAACCCTAAACCGTGGTAGCCTTAATATTCAGAAACCGCCCTCATCCGATATCTTCTGTTGCAGGACAACGGGAAGGACGAGCAGGCAGACGATGATCGCGACAGCGTCTCCTGACCAAAAGTTCGGGCTTTATGTATTTAGGGTTTAGGGTTTAGGGTGTAGGATTTAGGGTTTTGTAGGGTTTAATCATGTACTGCTAAGATTGGTACAAGGGCTTTATTATGAGGAACCCATCATACACTCGGGGTTAGGGCTCTGGAGTTTCAGATCTCTGGCAGGAGGCAAGGATAAGTAGGATTGATGGGTTTCACTTGGGGTCCTTCGGGGGCTGTTTATATCTTTTTAAAGGTGGGAACCGGACTCGTATGGGGCGGTCTTGGGATTTGTGGCCCTAAACCCTAAACCCTAAACCCTAAACCGTTCTTCGGGTGTGGCTGTGTTTTGCTCAACTTTTGCAGGTCGTTGCACGTTGGTGCGTTGGAATGGTTCCGAAATCGCAGGCTTCTATGTATTGAGGAAGGGACATGTTTGGGGGCTCTATATGATACATGCGTTTGCTTGTTTCTGTTCAGTTTTCGGCAGGGTGTCCAAAAACCCCTAAACCCTAAACTCTAGCCGCGCAGCTTCAATCTGAAGAGGTTTGCATCGAGTTGACGGAGCATGAGCTGAGGCGGGATGGCGTTGTTTCTGGTTTAGGGTATATGATAGAACCCAACATAGAGGCCTAATGCCCTAAACACTTAACCCTAAATCCTAAATAGAGTATATGATAGAACCCAACTTTCAGCCCTAATACCCTAAACCCTAAACCCTAAATAGAGTACATGATAGAACCCAACATAGAGCCCTAATACCCTAAACCCTAAACCCTAAATAGAGTATATGATAGAACCCAACTTCTCCAAATAATGTAGGGGCCTATAAATAAGTACCTAAACTATTTTGGGTGTTTCTGATTTTATATCTATAATATAATATTCCGCACAACCCTATTCTAACTATTGAGGCCCCTATATCAGGGATCGCTGTTAGTGTCTTTAGTCTGATAAGAGCGACCTGCTCCTTAGGTCGTCGAGTGTCGCGAATGCTTAGCCTCCAAGACTCAGATAGAGAAACCCAGGCTTGGATGCCTAAGATGTCTTGTAGGTAGCACCCTAAACCTAAAACCCTAAACCCTTCGAACCCCAAAGACCCCAAATCCTTCAAACCCCAAAACCCTAAACCCAAAAACCCTAAACCCTAAACCCTAAACCCTAAACTCTAAACCCTAAACCCTAATCTCTAAACCCTAAGCCCTGCGGTCTTCCTCTAAGCTTGTTGTCTCCATGAGCACCTCCGCCGGCCAGACGAGAATAAGACCTAGGGCTTCGGGTTTAGGGTTTAGGGTTTAGGGTTCCACTGAGGCGCTACACCTCTTACCCTGGAAGGGTTTAGGGTTTAGGGTTCCACTGAGGCGCTACGCCTCTTACCCTGGAAGGGTTTAGGAG